TGTTATTTACTGCTTCATCATCTCCCTCAACACTATTATTTTCTCAACTTTCTTTTAATTTTAAAATATTTTAAAAAGGAATCTCTAAGATTCCTTAAAGATTCTAGTGCCTTGATTAGGGTGTGTCAGATTTTTTGCCATGAGCTGGGATTGCCATGAGCTTGGGCATTGATGGCAGGGGAACTGACAGCAGTCATTGCTAAAGTAGGCTCCCTAGGGTTAGATCATGTTGGGGATTCGGTGGAGGAAGGAGGAGCAACTGATTTTGGGGAAGGAGGAGTTGTAAGGTTTGATGAGAAGATAGTGCGGGTTTGGGGCAGTGGCATCCAGTGCAGAGGTGCTGCACGTGAAGTGAGGAGCAATTGTGGTGGAGGAGCATCCGAGGTTGAAGGACAGGCACCAGGCCCAGTTGTCACTCAAGGAGGCAGGCTGCCTCGGGGTCAAGGCTGTGGAGATGCTGAGCTTGTAGATCTTGGCCTCAATCAAGATGAACCCGAAGCTAAAGCATGAGGAACTGTAGCACAAGGAGCTGGAGCCTCTCCCCCCATGGTTTCTAGAACTTGATTGTTCTCCAAATTCTCTTCTATGACAACCAACGAGGTAAAGCTTCATCCCGAGTTTAGCTCATAGTTTGTAGGAGAGTGGTTTCGGGTTTAAGGTGGCGAAGCAGGTAACTTGGAGCAAAAGCAATCACCAGGACAGCAGTACATGCAACTATGGTTTCATAACTTGGAGGAGCAGGACGACATTGCCATTGAACAGAAGGCAGAAGAAAGAGGAGGGTGATGACGACGAGGAAGGGGAGGTGAGTGTTCATATTGCAAAGAAAGTGAGGAAGAAACGCAAGAAAAATTGGGGGGATGATGAGACGGCTTCCCTCATTGACTTCAAATGGGAAGATCACCTTGGAAAGATTGGGGCAGTGCGGGTAGCAAGGAGACGATGTTGACAATAACTGTTCGTTGGAAGAGAATTGTGAAAAAGATGTAGGTTGCTGGCATGCAGCAGGACTGGAAGGCTTGCCGGACTCACTGGAACAACCTTTGCAATGACTATAAGTGCATTTGCGATCTCCAAAGGAAAATTGGGACCCTAATTACTTCAGCTTGAGCCACAAGGATGCAAAGTGGCTTATGTCAGTGAAGCTGAACTTGAAGGTGTTCCTAGTCAAGTACTTCAACATACTAGATGAATTCTTGGTGAAGAAGGCATCGAATTCTCCAACATTTTTTGCTGATTCAGATGCTCTAGAGGAGGAAGCTCACAAGGAGGATCCCACAGATGGTGTTGATCCTCCTGGAGATGCTACACAGGTGCCAGAGAGTTCAGGGAAGTGAAAGAACCTGAAAAAGGCCAAGAAAAGCATGAACACTTTGCTCGGTGAAGGGAATGCCCTCGCTGCTACTTAAAATGAGCAGAATTTAGTGTGGCAAAAAGAAAGCATTATTTGCATGAAGAAGAATAGCCTGGCTGAGAAAGAGAAGGCTGCAATTGCAACAATTTTAGCTAGAGCCATCTCCAACCTTGCAAGCTCCATCTCCAACTTCTTGAATGGGGCTACATCCAAGAGTTAGCCGTCTTGTTTTCGGGATTTTAGGGGGATGTTAATTATTAATATTAAAATAAACTATGTTTAGGCTATGATATTCTAGATTTCTTCTAACCATTTTTTTTCTTTTAGGATCTTGTTCTTCTACAAGTTTTGTTTCTCATCATGAAGGCTTTTTGATCCATTATCGATGACAAGACTTTAGTGGCACAAATCCTTCTGGACAAGGAGGAGGACAAAGACAAGCTTCGTCAAACAGTCTTGTCCAAGCGACTTGACACCAATCTCTAGTGAGTGAAGCCGTAGTATATAACAGCATGGAGCAAATTCTTCATAGAGTTGTATGACCTCGGTTGATGGAAGTGGAAGTTAAGGATGGAGAAGATGACATTTCTTTGGGCTTTGTGGCATTCTGGAGGCTGAAAGCTGCAAGCAAGATACAAAGTTTAGGAGAGCAGTGCTAATGGATGTTCATTTAGGGGTCACCTTGTACAAGTTCTTCAAGAACACTAACTACTCAAACCTATCTAACAAGTTTGGGATTGGGGAAGCCATTGCACATGACATTGTGGTGCAAACAATTGCTGCAATTGTCAAGTGCCTTGGATACAAGATTCAATTCCTAGAGACAGCAATGGAGGTTAGAGCTATGGTGGTAGAGTTTTAACAAATCACCAAAACCGTCTCCCTAATGTGGCTAGGGCAATTGACTATACATATTTCAAGATTATCCGACCAATTGGCCCAGATGGTGAGGGCTACTTTGATCAAAAGCAATGGTACTTGGTGATCTTGTAGGGGGTTTGCGATGCTCAGAAAAGGTTCTTGAGTACCTATGTAGGTTGGTTAGGTAATTACTTTTAATTTTTTCCTTCTATGTTTATTTTTTTTCCCAAGGAGTGTTCATGACATGAGGGTTTTTTGGAACTCTAGGCTATGCCACAAGATCCAAGCAAGAGAATTACTAACAGTTCCTCGGGAGTTTGCTTTTGATGAGTGGATTGAGCCGTACTTGGTGGGCGACAAAAGTTACTAGCTGCAATAGCATTTGATGATCCCTCACTTAGGTAAGCTGATTGTTTTGTTTTTTTTTTTTTTCAATTATTCATTTGAAACAAGTTCCCGATTGACAGTGATTGAGGCGGAGTACAACCAACAACACTATCTAGCCTGGATTGTTATTGAACAACTATTTAGACTTTTGAAAATGAAATTTAAATGCTTGGATCAAAAACAAAGGATCAAGCTGAAATATCTACCATACATCATCAAATGTTGTTGCATCTTGCACAACTTCTTGATTAATGTTGGTGAGACAAACATCAATGCCAAGATCAAGGCGTAAAAGAAATACATTCAAGCCTTGAAGGAAGTAGAGATTTTCAAATATTACAAGGATCTTGTCAAATGTGCAAATGCAATGGTCACAAAAATTAAAATACACATTTTAAAATATTTTTATATAACTTGCAAATGCAAATAGCTCTATTCATTCATTCATATACTGTTTTAAGTGGCCCACACCCACTATATTGAAAATCTCACACATTGATTTTGAGTTTTCCATAGATGCCCGATTACAATACTCCCATGGCGAGATCTCACATAATCAGAAACCTTGACGTTGCTCGCCATGGGAGTTCATGTAAGACGATTGGACCTGACAAGGTTTTGCAAAACCACTACATTTCTTTCTTAAACTTCTTTTTGTTTCTTCAGGGTATTAGATCAAGTAGTGTCAATGGTTGCGAGGTCTCAACAACAGTGGCATGGATCTACCCTTAATTGCAGAAAACTAGAGATCGTTGTACAAGCTCCATGAGGGGGAAACTCTCCCATTTAGCAATTTCAAAGTTCCACCAGTTGGAATATAAGTTGTAGTCAAACGGGAGCGCCGGCCAGCCAGCGGCGCCACCAATAATGGCGCCAGGGGCTTGGAGCAGCATGGCGGGGCTATGCCCAGGGCGACACCAAGGCGGCGGCGGAGCATGAAACAAGTAATCCAGATAGTGATTGGATCCGATCACTGCGAACTGTGTTTAAGGAGAATCCTGTATGTAGCGCATTCCCGACGAGATTTTCTATGGGAATTGAGCGAGCTGGGGAAAAATGCAAAGGGGGAAGAGCCCAGCCGGGAAGCAGAAGCTGACGCGGCATTGTATCTTTCGTCTACACAAAAACGTTTGAGCAAAACCAAAAAAAAAATCTTTTTGCCATGGCCACCCTTTCATCTCATCTAGAGTTTTGAGAGAGCTTCTTGCACCGAGACGGGGTGGAGCGAGAAGCCGCCTCGTCTCGTCTTTCTCTAGATATTTAGTGGCAGGCAAATTTCAGAGCTCTGTCGGTGCTGGATTCTTCTCCCGGAGCATTCCACTCCCGACGAGAGACAAAACCTGCAAACGCACTGATTACTTTTGACACAGGTAAATGATCCATGCCACTATTGAGGCACAACGGTTGACACTTGGAGAAAACCCTGAAGAAACAAAAAAGAAGTTCATAATTGCTGCCGATGGCGACTCCGGGAATCCGGCATATGCCACTGCTGATGTGAGAAAATATTTTTGTAGCGCTTTGCTTACAAGCACTGTGACAGATTATGCTGCGGAGACTGCCACTCACAAAGCCATTGAAGTTTCTAGGAGATTGATACAAGTAAGAACAGAAAAGCGTCAGGGTTCTAATTGAGTTCTTTCGTTTTTCAGCTCGAGAGCCAGAGGAACGTGGATTTAATCGGTGGAGCTGACACAGTCGTGGGGCTTCACGTAAGAAATGTCTTTTCTTTTTCTCATCCCTGGCGTGAGACGCTGTGTAGGGAATGACTGTGGAGAAGCCTCGCAATGAGAAAGACGCCTGTTGAGCGGTACGTCTATCGTTTTGCAACTCACACAAAAAAGGAGTTTCCACAAGCCGACAACACAAAGTTTACACAGGAGTTGTGATTCTCCTGCCGCATGCCACAGGTTCTCTAGATTTGCTTCCCTATCTCTGTCGGGCCCTCGTTTCAATCCAGGTTTCTAGATCCCGCTCTCGGACAGGCACCATTGTTACGATCATTCTACGAGGAGACTGCTGTAAAATAAGTTAGCGTGTGTGGGAGTGAACAAGACCACGTCAGCACACAGCCACGTGAGCGATCCAGACGCCGCCACGGATCGTCACGATAAACCCATACATTTAACCATGTATTAACCGTCATAATAATAACACAACACCGTTTCATAATACAACATGGTATCGGAGCAGCGAACGATCTAATGGCAAGAGGACAGTGGCAGATGAAGAATCAAAGGGGCCAGGAACCTTTGGCTCAGGAGCGCGCGAGGGCTTTGGCAGTGCTGGCGCGGGTGGAGCGGAAGATCCAGGAGCGAAAGCGCCAACAAGCTCTTTGCCCAGCCTGCCGGAAGGTGTGCCCTTGTTGCGGCCGAGTTTTTCACGATTCTTCTCCGCGCCGTCCTTTCTAAATTCTCTGTTTAATCTATTCTTAGATTAATAGATAGAATGTCTTCTGCTAACGCAGCAGGAAATTCTTGGGACTCTGGGGGCTGGGAGAAACTTCTGCAAAAGTTCACGGGACAGAATTTCTCGACTTGGAAAACAAAAGTACAGCTTATCCTTTTGGCCAAGGACTGCTGGCCTATAGTGGATGGAACGACTCAACGTCCGGCTGCTGCGGATGTAACCCAAGGGCTCGACTGGGACTCCAAGAATCGAAAAGCGCTCTCTGTCATCGGGTTAGGTCTTGGGGATGAATCCTTGATCTTACCAAAACAGCCCACCAGAACTGGACATCCCTTACACAAATCTTCGCTGCCAAAGCTGCCAATGCTAAGGTGGTGCTAACACAAAGGTTCTTCACGATGAGAATGCAACCTGATGACACTATGGCCACTTACATTGGAAAGTTTAAAGCGATGGTCACCGAGCTGAAGGACGCGGAAGCGGCAATCACCATTGATCAAGCTAAGGCATTCCTTCTGAGCTCTGTCTCCCCTGATCTCCAACCTTTCGCATCGATGCTCTCGGCTGTGCCTGGAAAGGACTTGGACTCGCTCTACTTGGACCTGATCGAGGAAGAACGCAAGCAGAACGAGCGGAGACAAAAGGCGCCCTCTCAGGCTGCTCGGGTGGAGCAGGCCTTGTTCATGGGAAAGCAATCGGGTGGGAAGATGGCCCTGTTCGAGGACAAAAGAGCCCTTCTCCCAGCCCTGGATTTGCAACAGATAAAAAACGCAAGGGCCCATGTAACTACTTGGCCACGTGGAGCGTGAATGCCGGATCAAGAAAGCCGCAGAGAAAGCTCGCACTGAAAGAAGCTCTTCTTCACGCCAACCTGACACGATGTTGATGATGACGCTCACTGCATCTTCATCCACTGTGTCCGAAGCCGAAGTGCTCTGGATGGATTCTGGAGCCTTGATGCACCTCACACCATTGAAGAGAGCTTTTCACAAGTACTGGCCACTGGAGCAGGAGAAGCAAGTCTTTGTAGGAGACAAATGCCCCTTAACAGTGGAAGGACAAGGAAGGACAAGGAACGGTCATCATAAAGTTGGAGAGTGGAGCTGAGAAGCTCGTGAACTAGGTCTACTACGTAGGACAGACAGTGTTCTCAGTTGGTGTAGTAGCAGATCAAGGCTTCTCAACACTCTTCAACGCAGACGGATGCACATCTTTGACGAGACTGGCCATCCAGTAGCTTTTGGTAGACGAGCTGAGACTCTCTACAAGCTCAATGTTCAGTTGATCCTCTCAACTCACGAGCAGGGGCATTTGTTTGCAATTTGCCCCAGCTCTTGGACTGCCAACTCTCTCCAGCTCTAGCACGCTTGGCTAGGGCATGCCAATTCTCACGACATCCAGCTACTTGTTAGCCACAAGCTTGCTGATGACTTTACCCTCACCGGTGCCAGCCAACTAGGAGTACGTGAAACGTGCCAACTGGGGAAGCAGCCAAGACTACCCTTTCCACGCAGAAGTCCAGAAGATGGCGCCTCAGGATTTCTTCAGCTGGTACACACGGATGTGTGCCATGTGCCAGAAGCAACTCTCAGTCACAAGCGGTACTTCGTTTCGTTCATTGACGACTACTCACGCTATGCGGTGGCTGTTCCCATGGCACACAAGGGAGAGGTCTACCATCACTTCCAGGTCTACAAAAGCTGGGCAGAAAATGCCACTGGCTGTACCATCCAGACACTACGCTCAGATGGCGGCGGTGAGTATAGGAGCAATGAGTTTCTGGCATTTCTTGCTCAGGCTGGAATCCACCACGAGTACACCGCAGCCCACACCTCGCAGCAGAATGGGGTCAGGAGACACCGCATCGCTCATGGCGTCTTGCAGCATGCTCTAGGCGCTGCTACCTGGTGACCATGAACCAGTAAGTGTGGATCCATCCTCTAGTGGGTGTTGATCTTTTCGGGATGAGTGACCGGCTACAGATCTCTGACCAAAGTTTCTCCAGCTTGAAGGAGGAGCAGGTTTGGTGTCGGACATCGAGGAGGACAGGCAGCTTCTATGGATTCACCGAGCGCCTGAACAGGACACTTATGGACTGTGTACGCTGCCTCGCTGGCATGCCCAAGGTGTTTTGGGGAGAGGCACTCAACACCTCCTGCCAGATCGCCTCCTTCGGGCGCTCCTTCAGCAACTCCTCCTGGCTCTGCATCGGCTACTAATCTCAGCTGCAGAATTGGATCTCGAGCTCCATCAACTTGACGTTTGTACTGCGTTCCTTAATGGCGACATCGATGAAGAGGTGTATGTGGCTCAGCCTCCTGGTTTTATCCAGCCTGGAGAAGAACACCTCGTTTGCAAGCTTAACAAAGCTCTCTACGGACTCAAGCAGTCGCCACGCCAATGGTACACGAAAATAGATTCTTTTCTAATTTCCCTTGGTTTCGTGCGCAGTGCTGCTGATTGTAACCTCTACATATATTTTGACGCTGGGCTATTTGTTCCTTGCGCTATATGTGGACGATGCTATTCTCGTGGCAAATCAGCTACGTTTGATCCACAAATTTAAAACGTACCTTGGCGCTAAATTTGCCATGAAAGACCTCGGTGAGTTGCATTTCTGCCTCGGTATCCAGGTGACGCGCAACAGGGAACGAGGCACTCTGGAGCTAAGCCAGGCAAAATATGTTTCCGACGTGCTCCAGAGGTATGGCCTTGCTCGTGTTAATCCGGTTGCTACTCCCATGGAAACAGGCACGAAATTATCTGCTGAGAGTGGAGAGTACTTTGATCAATCTCCCGAGGAGGAGAAAGCATCTAGAGCAGTCTATCGCTCTATGGTCGGCAGCCTGATCTACCTGGTAATCTCCACTCGGCCTGACCTTGCATATGCTGTGGGAACAGTGGCGAAGTACCTGGACCGTCCCTCCACAGCACACTGGCAGGCTTTGAAACGTATTATGAGGTACGTGGCAGGGACTAACCAGCTAACTTTAAAGTACTCCAGAGGCCAAAGCGGCAACAAGCTGGCTGGTTACTCTGATGCTGATTGGGCCGGGGATCCAGACAACAGGAAGTCAACCACAGGCTACGTTTTCCTGCTAAATGGAAATGTCGCAAGCTGGTGCAGCAAACGACAGGCTATTACAGCGATGTCGAGTACCGAGGCTGAGTACATAGCTGCAGCAGCTGCAACCAAGGAAGCAGCGTGGCTGAAGGGACTTCTCCAGGATCTACAAATCAACACGGGCGTGGTCAAGCTATTGTGTGACAACCAGTCTGCAATAGCTTTGACCAAGAACTCCAGGTTCCACTCTCGTACTAAACACATTGACCTGCGCTTCCATTTTATACGAGAGCAGATCCAGAGAGGAATGATCGAGCTGGAGTTCTGCCCGACAAACTCCATGCTAGCGGACGTGCTAACAAAACCACTTCCTCGTGTTAAACATGAAGTCTTCACGAAGGCTCCTGGGCTGACTTTAGACGTTGGCCTTGAGGAGTGTGGGAGTGAACAAGACCACGTCAGCACACAGCCACGTGAGCGATCCAGACGCCGCCACGGATCGTCACGATAAACCCATACATTTAACCATGTATCAACCGTCATAATAATAACACAACACCGTTTCATAATACAACAGCGTGCTCTCGAGCTCTCAAGTTTTCCCCTCTTCTTACTGAAGGTGGAGTTTGGTAGTCACTACCATCACAGCATACATTGCGAAAGCTGGCTCTTATGGCATCCAGGTTCCTTATCCTTTTCGTAATTCATTCAATGCCTTGCAGGACGTGGGTGCCTCACTCGTCAAGTCCGTCAATGGATGCTTCTACAACGTCGTTGGCTTCCCAATCCACTGGTGAGTAGTCTCCACGCCTCCTCCCCTTGCGTAGATGTCTCATGAGCAAAATAAACTACCTAATAAAATATTATATATTATACTTAGTTAATACAATATTTTTTAATTTTTTTTGTAGCTGATATTTTCCTCTTTCTCTTCAAAATATTTTAGTGTAGTGTTATATCCAGAACTGGAGTGCCAGAGTGTCCCATAGACCCCTAAAACTTCCGTCCATTAGTAACGCGAGAGACAAAGTTGCTATCACCCTTAATTGCAGAATTTGTGTAATAGAGATTGTTGAACAAGCTGCTTGAGGGGGAAACTCTCCCATTTCGCAATTCAAAGTTCCACCAGTTGGAATATAAGTTGTAGTCAAATGGGACACTCCACATGATTGCCGCAGTTCAATTTTGGGCTGAAAGATAATATGTGATAACCCCAGCAGTGCCTCTTGCCACAGGACCAATTGTCTTGTGAGCTCCAAAGCCGAGTGTGAATTTATTAGCGAAGTAAGAGGTTTCAGAAACGAACACCAAATTATATCATCAACTCAAATGGCCTTTGATGAAGACAATGCAATTGCTAAAAGGCATCATTACAATCGTCAGTATGTCCAAATGCACATTTGAAGGCGTCCAGGAGAACACTTCAATCCCCACAAGTGGTTGCACTCAAACCATTGTACCACTATAGTGTTATCCCTTGGAAACATGTGGGAAACTCAGGCAACTGTTGAGCATCATCCCAAGAATGATATGTGACAATCACTATAAAGTGATCCAATTAATGGTATACATTATCCCCAGAATTCCCACGAAAGAACTCCGACCGAATACAAGGATTGGCATCAAGAGCAGGAGAAGTTAAACCATATCCCGTAAATGCCACTATCAACTAAATTTAGTTGTTTAATTGTTAGCACATAGCATCAAGTAATTGTACCAATTGCTGCTCCAAAATCAAAGAAGGAGATTATTGATCCGCCATGAAGATGAATGAAATAGAAAGAGTAAAAGGAGAGAAATGACAAAAAGCTAGAAAGAAAGGGAGATCTAGATAATGTAAAAAGCTAGATCGAAACCAAACTCTTGAAAAAAAAGAATAAAAGAAAGGAAATGGAAAAAACTAAATCTAAACAATGCAAAAGTTAAATTCCAAATCCAAACACTCTTTAGGGACAATCAAAAGGTGCCCCTCACCTCCAATAATGTGAGTGTTTAAAATAAAGAAAGGGAATACAGAAAATGTGCATATTAATTAGCCTAAAAGCCTTTAGGATCAAATGGTCTAGATTGAATAGCTACCAAAATCCCATTGTGTTAATATTAGTATACGGCATTGTAGCTGTACATTTGGACCTCACAATATTATATTTTTAAAAGGATGTTTAAAATAAGATAAAAGCTTCTCTTTACATTAATAATAGAAACCTTAAAAACTTATGAACATGGACAAATGGTTTTAGTTATCACTCTACTTGGTAATGCAACATTTAGTACAAATGGAACAACAATACATTCAATATTTTCATTTTGATCAGAAGGAGAGAGAGAGAGAGAGAATTTTAGCAAATGAAATATTAGATAATATATACAAAACAAATTTAATGTTTAATAATAGTTGATACAAGATATAATTAAAAGATGTGGGATTTTTATTTGAGATGGTAATATAAGGGGAAAAATTAATACCTATTTAAAATAGTCTAGAACTTTTAGAACTGCTTTAATAAGAACCATCTCGACTACTTAGCAAAACACACAATTTTTTACAATCAAGAAGAAGAGAATTGTCAAAAGTTTTAGGCTTTTTCTTTTTAATTTTTTTTATATTTTCTAGTTTGCAAGTTAATCTTTAAAAAAGAAAGCTTACCCTTTTCAATAACAAAACATCTCTTCTTTTTTCTAGTTGAAAGAGAAAGTTAAAATTCAAATTTATGACTTAAACACCATAACACTTGCATAATGGCCAACAAAAGAGGTTGTTAAGAGTCTAGTCAAGTAATTTGCATTTTTTACTCTGAGCAATTGTGTCCACTTTCACACTCAACTTACTAGTTATTCATTCTAGTGTTATTAATATAATGAGCCATTGAGCAAGAGCAATACCATGATAATTAAATTTTAGCTTGGTGAGTTTATTTATGAGCCTGGATGAAATTTTTACACCATTGTATCACCAAGCTCTCAATTTTCACTATGATATAAATGATACACACTAAAGATAAGGAGGAAAATCTTTTAGCACAGTATTTTACTTAAAATCTTATGGCATTCAGTTGGCTATTGCTCTTAACAATCTCAAAAATCAAGTTTTTATTTATACAGGTTAGTAAAATAAATTGCAACCATTAAAAATTGAAACCTTGGAATCTAAACCGTTGAAACAACAAAAAAAAGAGAATATACCAACTAAAATAGATTTAAAATTCAATAGTCACTTGCAAATAAACTTCCATAGTTATGAGCTTGCTCACTCCCCAAGAATCCTCACTTCCTTAAATCAAACTTAAATTTCCAATTATTTGATAATCACAGTCACATTCACATTACCCAAAGCTTATTGACCTCCCAGAATGAAAAAAAACTCTTTAGAACAAACATAGTCTAATTAAAAATCTTATTGTTGATTCTGTGTTACTTACTCTTTAACAATGCTCCTTTCAAGTTGCCATAAACATGCAACTCGATCTTTGAAACATGTGGTAAACAGTTAGATTAGATTATCAAACCTAGTTACTTTTCTTAAGATATTCCCATGTATCTTTGTCTTGAGTAAGAACTCATTGTGATTTTTGTGCGAACTCTAAGTTTCATATGCCAAGCATACTTCCATTCCTTAATTAATTAAAAGGAATTTGACAGTTCACAGATCAACTTATTTCAACAGTTTGTGCACTAATCTCAACGGAGTGGAAGTCCCCTGCCACTGGGTCTTGGTGCCAGTTGTTTGTGTCATCTGTTTAAAAAACCAAACCGTTTAAAACTGGTCGCAAATTGAAGTGTCACCTTCAATCTTCTGTAGAGACCGATACTGAAGTCGTACGCTTTCATTGTTATCGAGAGTTTTCACAAGATACCTGCAAGGCACAGACACCTCTATTCACATGCCTAAGCAAAAGAGACACTAACCATCCATTTAAGCACTGTGTCGTAATAATCGCTTGCTTGCCAACAAACCTCTCTGGGGTTCTCTTATTTCCCTGAAAAACACGGAGTGATATACTACGGAAAACAAAACAAGTACCAAACCTTGATCAAGACTTTGTCACTAACAACATAAGGAAACTGGACGCCCTTCGGACGTCCGGCATCCACGGATTGATCGCCATCCTGTAGAAGAAGCGTCAAATGCCAGCTACAAACTCCATAAAAAAGCCTTACAGGATCTTTACCGGATCTCTTCTCCGCTTCGCTGCTGTTCCTTTGGGCACGACCCCAGACTTCGGAAAACCTCTGTCATGCCTGAAAGCCAGCACAGCCGCTCGCAATGCTGCACACAGAAAAACCTTGAAAGAAAATCACGAGAGAGTTGTTTTGCATCTTATACCCAAGTTTATGGATCCATCTGCAATACGAGTAGGCACTTGGCAAATCTGGCACAAGCTCTGCGAAGGGAAAGAACTAACTCAAGCCTGAAAATAGATAAGCCTACTCACAGTTTCTTGTATCTTTTGAATACCCCCGGATCCAAACGTGTGACCGCAGGGAAATATAACGGCATCGTCCATTAGCTCGCCCCTGGAGGATCACTAGAAGGTATGACACCAAGAAAGAAAAATCAAACACCATACAAAACTTACGAGAATGGATCCGAAAGTATTTGCTTGAGCGATTGCTCGGCGGTTTGCAGGATCTCGTTCTGGTGGTGTCCTCGAATGCAGCTCCCACCGGTGAGCAGCGACGTGTAGTAATTGTTTAGAGCGTCACCTCCATCTTTGGTGGAGGCACCATTGTTGCTGATCCCAGCCGCATTGGCGGCCGGCGTGGACTGGCTAACACTAGCGCTACCGTGAGAGAAAGAATTCAAAAAGAGGAAAGAATTGGCACCGGCAGCGGCAGCCGACCCCGCCGTGCCCGATATTTCTTTCGATCTCTCCATTTTCTGCGAGCTAATGGCGGCTAACCTTGCCTGGAGCTGGGGCATGCGCCGGTGATTGCTGCTACCGGTGGCGGCGGATTCGTAAGCTGCGGCGGCCGCGGCAACGGCGGCGCCACGCCTGGGGTGCTGATCGACCAGCTCCTCCTCCTCCTCCTCATAATCATCGGATCCATCAGACGCCCCGCCGCTCTCGCCTACGCTCATGCTTCCCTCTTGCGCTCGCAAACCCTAAGTTTACATCTCTCCACACGCATGGGGCGCCTCGCCATTCCGCTTTCATGCCGCATCTGGATATTCCATTCCGGAAGAGCCACTTTAATACCCCTTTTCTCCCGTTTTCCAGACCTTGTTGGTCAAACATGGATCATAGTATATGCTAGGATATTCATATTTGCTTAATTTTCATTTAAACATGTTTATAATTTTAGTTTAAACCAACTAAGTTACTTTCTTTTTCTGTCTAGCCCTAAAAGTTTTCCGGGTTTAAATACTTTCAAACCCTAAAACTCCTGGCAAGATTTGCAAGGGCCTTGCATTTGTCCACACAAGACCAGCTGTGACCGCCCTGGAACGGCATTTAAGACTGTCTTCTCATCATCTGCGCTTTGGTGTGCTTGGCTTGGCTTCCTCGCTTGAATGAAAACAAGAAAACCAACCCCAGAAGAGGCGACTTCAAAGAATAGGGAGTGGGAGTTCGGCCATTAAACGCACATCTCTTTCCTCCATCCCTTCGCGCGGTCTCTTTCCTCAATTTGATCCATCCCTCTCTCAAAATCAGTGATTTCTACTTGCTTTTCTTTTTGTTCTTCGTAGTTTCTTGGCTGGCGGATTCCATGGAAGTGCCCACCAGATGGACGGCCCAGATGTCCAGAATCCAATTGACTTTGTTTTGTTTCTTGTTCGATAGTGTTTGACGGATAGTATCACGTGAGACCGTCGGAGACAAACGAGAGAGATTCATGACCTTCAGATAAGCATCAATCGAATTATATAGATATCTCTCTCTCTCTCGCTTTACTTTTTTCTTTCTGGAAAGAACAGTGTTGTCAACGCGTTTAGCTTTTTTCTTTGGAGGCTTGCGTGAGCAAAGTCTTGCCTTGCGGAATGGGGCGATTTGATTGATTGTGATTTTGGAGTGGTGATCCACTAGAAAGATCCTAAGAGCAGCACACACACTTCTCGCTCGTCTCTTCGACTACTTAAAAGTTGACCGTGGAAGAGAAGAATCTGCGAAGCCACACTAAAACGCACAGTGCCAGTGGCCTCCATCATTCTGGGAGGATTCCCTGGAGATTAGTCATAATCCTCGTCATTGCTTTGACAGCCATTTGGATCCAAAGCTTGGATTCTAAGATTATTGTGGATGCTCTCCCCCAAAGTTTATAAGCAAGTGCTTCTATGCAACCTTCCCACTCACAAGCTATAGTGAAAAAGCGAATAATTCAAAGAGACCACCAATGAATCATGGTCTCCCTGCCGGCCATTCCCGGCCGGAAGGGCGCCGTAAAAATTCCGGACCAGAATGCTGGTGAGAAAACTACGTGGGGGTAAATTTCCCAGTAAAGCTCCCAAAGGAGAATAAAAATTAAGTAAAGGGAAATTTTACAGCGCTCTTCATTGTAGTGAACGAGGAAGAGAAGAGAGCGAGGGACGAGAGGCTAGGTCAAGGCGCGATAGCGAGTGCTTGCGCGAGCAAGGAGAGCGCGCGCGAGGCAGCAGGGGCAAGGAAGCGGCGGGGCTATGGCTGGCCGCTAGCGGCGCCACGAGGAACGAGTAAGCATTTCCATGGATCTAGTGCCCCGGGGGCGGCGCCCGTCGTCTTCGCGCCATCGGCATCGGCATCCACATTCCAGGGCGGAATTCCATGCTCCAGATCCCGCTTGGGTCCGCCGGCATTGGGCTTCGATCGCAGCGCTGCCCGCGGCAAGCAATCGGGCGTGACGATGTAGAACAGGGTTAGAACTCCGGGTTATTCGTGATCACTCTTCCTCTTCCTTTCTTTTCCTCCTCCCTTCTCGAAGATGCTACATAGTGGTGGTTCTTGGGCATCCTCTCAACATGTTGCTTCGATCTAGAAGGCCGGCCGTGTGGATCGACTGCTACCAGCTTCTTTGGCATTGGCAGGAGATTGTAAACTCTTGGAGGCGCTGCTACTACTATGCGATTCTGCTAATAAGCATGGGAGCTCTTTGCTCGAAGGGGATAGGAATATCATCGAGGCGGCGCTCCTCGTCGCTGGCCAGGGATCTCAATGCCCGCCAGCGCTCGCGAGAACAGGTGGTTTCTTACGTTGCCGACTCCGGGGAGCTCCGGATGGAGAGCAGCGACCTGGAAGAGGCTGACTCCTTGGAGAAGATGAAGCTGGGCTATAAGTTGGCGCAGGAACGGACGCTGGAGAGCACGAATTCTTTCGAGAGGATGAAGCTGTCGAGAGTGCTGTCCAGCAAAGCGAAGTCTGCCCGAACGAAGACGACGACGGTGGCCAAGAAGGGAGCTGCAAAGGTACGTTTTGTCTCGAATTGTTGCTTCTCTAAGAGAACATAAATCCAGGTGTCTGAAGTGGGACTGCTTTTGGGAAGAGCTGGAACTGCAAGCCTGGGAAAAGCCGTGGAGGCGCTTGACACTGTAGGGAGTAGCCTAACGACGATAGGCAGTGGTTTTGGAGGTGGTGTTGCTCCAAAGGGCAGCAAGATTGGAATTCTAGCGTTTGAAGTTGCCAACACCATCGTTCGAGGCTTCAGCTTGATGCACTCTTTGTCCGACGAAGACGTGAAAGTCCTCAAGGAAGAGATACTGCCTTCGGAAGGCGTGCAAAGGCTGATCTCCAGGGACATGGACGAGTTGTGGAGGATTGCAGCAGCGGATAAAAGGTACAAAAGAACCTCTATATTCTCTTGCTTTGCTAAAGTTTTGAGAAGCTTTCGTTGTTTGCAGGAACGATTTGAAGGTGTTTACGAGAGAGGTGGTACGTTTCGGTAACCACTGCCGTGATCCTAGATGGCATCAGCTTTGCCGAATTTTTGACAAGTATGTGTGTGAGTGCACAGAACGTTCCAAGTTTACGTTTTTTTTTTTTCCTCCTCTTTCTTAAGGCTGGGATCAGAAGTAACTATACCCCGCCAATCGAAAGAGATTGCAGAAGCTGAGATGGAACATCTCATGATTATGGCACAACAAACAGCCGTGAGTGGTCTCCGCCTTTTCCTTTGTTTTCAGTTCCTTACACGAAAGCTTCTCTCAGGAACTTTATCACGAGTTGCATGCTCTAGACAGGTTTCATAATGATCTCAAGCGCAAGCTGCAGCAAGAGGAAGAGATGTACAGCAATTCTCAAAGAGGTACCACGCCATTCTTTTGTGTTAAAAAGAAGCTCCATTCAAGCCCGTGTGTTTCTTATCAGGAGAGAGCATTGCCATGCTCAAAGGCGATTTAAAAGCCCAGCAGAAACACGTAAAAAGTCTAAAGAAGAGATCTTTATGGTCAAAGATTCTCGAGGAGGTACGTAAGCTCTTGTGTCAAGTCTAAAGTGCTTACAAAATCGTCCAGGTAATGGAGAAGCTCGTGGACGTTGTTTATTTTCTACACCAACGGATTCATGACGTGTTTGGACCGGCTGGTTAGTTTTTCGCACTTTCTTTCGAAGAAACACGACTTTGTTGCCCTTTTTTTTATTTGACAGACGAAGATGCAAAGGTTTACGTCAAGGAAGGAATATGTAGGCTTGGTCCTTCGGGCTTGGCACTACACTATGCCAACATCATCAATCAGATTGACAATCTGGTACGAGCAGATCCAAGATTTTTATTCTTAGCATTTTTTATTATGTGTAGGTGTCTCGTCCGAATTCTGTTCCTCCCAACACAAGGGACACATTGTACCAGGGATTGCCACCGAGCATTAAGGCAGCATTAAGGAGTAGACTCCAAATGCCTCGGAAAAACGAAGAGGTGCCTTTTTTTTTTCTCGTACTTTTCTTCACTCATGCTCCTCATCTGTGCTGTGATTTACAGATGACTATTCCGCAAATAAAAGCTGAGATGGAAAAGATTTTGGACTGGCTGGCACCTGTGGCTCTGAACACCACAAGGTTAATTCATATGGTCAAGCTCGTGTGAACGCTAACCAGCCTCCTCTTTTTTATCAATCTCTAGAGCTCATCACGGATTTGGATGGGTTGGCGAATGGGCAAATTCTGGGTGAGTATTTCGTTGTTAGTTTCTTCTTCGTTTCTCAACTGTTCTTCATCTTCAGGTCCGTTCTAGATCGAAGACTCCCAGGACACACAGAACTGATACGCCTCCAAACACTCCACCACGCCGAGCAATCGACGGCGGAGTTCTACATCCTGGAGCTCATTGTGTGGCTCAACGTCCTGGTGAGCTGCGCAAGGAACAGCATCAACGGACACAGGTCGCCTTTCAAGTCGCCAAACAGGTCCCCGGCGACGAAGAAATCTGACGAGGAGGCTTCCAAAGCAGCAGAAGAAGCTAACGCAATAGAATCAGCATCGAGAAAGTGTGGCCTCTCGCAGGAAGACCAGGAGATGCTCAAGGACGTTGTCCAAGCCAAGCGGCGAACGCCAGGAATCAGCAAGAGCCAAGAGTTCGACGCGACGAGCAGCAAGCCCAAGCTCTCCAAGAGGCTGAGCTTGAGCAACCGGCTAAGCAAGAGCAACAGCCACTCGCCTAGCGCGGCTCCCACGGCACAGTCGAGCTCTCCCAGGTACGCCAAGCGCCACCACCAGAGCGCCGCTCCTCCGCCGCTCGACCTCGACATCGATCGGATCAACGAGATCGACACTAGCAGCAGCAAGAGGAGTGGGAGCTGAAAAACTCTGGACAAAGCTCTACTGGAAAGTTTGGCGCAAGAGCAAAGTTTCCAACCGGGTTTATATGTGTTGTGTTTGCTAGAAACTAAATGAAAGAACCCTAGCTCTCGAGAAGAATGTGGCGCGTCCGCGAGGTCCAAAAAACGTTTCCCAGTGACAATGCTCAAAGGTATTTGCTCGCTATCAATCCCACATTCTTGCCAGACTTTCTTTCCATGGCAGCTCGCCTGCAATGGACGCATCCATCTGGGCGAATCTCTCGCTCGATTTCCAGCTCAAGCTTCTCGATCACTTGCCTCTCCGGGCTCTCTTTCGCGCCAAGATCGTCTCCAAATCCTGGCGCCAGGCCGTGCTCTCACTCTGGGAGACAAAGTTTTACTACGTCCACGGCAACAAGATCGCCAGCCCCGGGGAGAAGTGCTGGAGCCCTCTTCCGCTGGATTACCTTCCAAACTACCTGGAAGAGCTCCCCCGGGCCGATGTGTGGCCGGCAGCATCGATGGGCTTGCTCCTGGTGGAAACCAGGCAAGCGCTGATCGTCACCAATCCCCTCACTCGCCGCTGGACTCGACTTCCACGCCTGCTCTGTGACCCGGGCTCGTACACTTGTATCATCAGCTTTCAGGCGTTCCCAGGCTCGAGCTTCCGGGTGGTCTGTGCCGCGTCCGAGTGCCTTCACGTCTACACCACCTTGCAGCTCCTCGTGTACCATCATCGCTGTGGTGCGGCGGTAGCAGCGCCCTGGGAGGGGCGGGAAGTGGACATTGGAGATGGCCAGGTGCTCGCATCCAATCCAGAGCTTGGGCTATGCAGCGATGGAAGCAACGTTTTCTTCGTCACCTGGACGAGGTTGGCATCCGCCACGGAGGAGTTCTCGCTCAAGTCTGTCAACTTCGTTGGTCGTGGCTCAGCGGCGAGGACTGTGGCGAGATGGAAGACCCTGCCCCCGGGATTCATTGTCCTTGACAAGTTCGTCTACCTCCCAGTTGTCTGTGGTGGACGAATCCTCCTCCCGTGCATGCAAACGGGCAGCGGTGGCGATGGAGTGATGGTAACCCCGGCTTTGCTGCTCCTGGACGAGAGACTGGAGCAGTGGCAGCCCTTTGTGGCAATGCCGCTGGATGATCTGGGGCTGGTTCCTCGGGAGCTCGTTCCAAGGATGACGTCGGTGTGGTGTATTCGCGCGCGAGCCTGCGAGGAGGAGGTGGTCCTCAGTCTTCTCGGGCTTGATTTCCAGTGCGTCTACAGGATCTCGAGCCGGACATGGTCGCCACTGCCGCTGGAGGGGGGGAGCGTCTGCATTGGCACTATACCCTTCAAGTTCTCGTTGCTCGGCACAGTCCCAGGTTTTGTGCGCTCCGTTTCATTTCTTCTCGTCAGGAACCATTTTGTTTTTCTTTGCAGGTGTCTCGCTGAGGCTAAGATTTGCTGCTCACTAGCAAACTACGATATACTAGCATTGTAGAGATGTTCAGCTCCTTCACGTAAGTTTCATTTCCTGAAACGGAAACAGTGAGACTCTTTTGGTCGATAGATGGATGATACACGGTTTCCAAAGCTTTATCTTTTCCACCCTTTGAACACAGTCTTTTATTCATTGCTCTTCGTGCATATATGACTGCTCATCTGTTTTTCATGAACCGGACTCTCTTACAAATGCTGTGTGACGATAATTGCAAGCCATGCAGTCTGTACAGCCTTTTTCACTTATATAAGTGGGATGGAACCAGGCGAAGCTAGACATCCTGTGGAGCTCATCTCTTGGAGCTCCAGCAGTCATAGCCACGGAAAGTAACCCCCTGGGTGGTGGACCAAGCTGAGATCTGGAACCTCGATGGCTGTCACCTGGTGAGATCCATCCATTTCCTTGATAGAGACAATAAACCATCTGCGCCTTTTCTTGCACTCGCTCGCTCTCCTTGTCGTTGTAAACATCCTTGCCAAACTTCTCATCGCAGCATGGAGACAAGTGCTTGTAGCCAGCAGCAGCTATCCTGTGAAGAAGGTAAGTGGCAGCCGAGAAGCAGTAAATCAGGATCAATGGATATGGCGATTGGTAAGCCTCAAGGTTCAAATGAGAATGTTTTGATTCTCGCTTCTATCCAGTTCTTGTCCGAAACCAGCCTCCTCTTTCTGTAGAGCTCATCACGGAATTGATACGCCTCCACGCCGAGCAATCGACCACGGAGTTCTACAACCTGGAGCTCATTGTGTGGCTCAACGTCCTAGCGCAAGAAACAGCATCAACGGACAGACGAAGAAATCTGATGAGAAGGCTTCCAAAGCAGCAGCAGCAGCAACTAACGCAGTAGAATCAGCATCGACCAAGCCAAGCGGAGGACGTCAGGAATCAGCAAGAGCCAAGAGTTTGACGCGACGAAGCTCTCCCCGGCTAAGCAAGAGCAATAGCGCGGCTCCAAGGCACAGTCGAGCTCTCCCAGAAACGCCAAGCCTCGCCACTTGAGCGCCGCTCCTCCACTGCTGGACCTCGACATCGAGAGAGCGATTTGTTTGCGCAGGTGGAATATGCTGGCATCCAACGGCTGGGATCTCCTGATAAATCCTAGCTCTGCGAGGAGAATGGAGCGCGCAATGTGGGATCGCTGTGATCGCTGCCGTCGCGATCCCACATTATCGATCCCAGCGATCACAGCGATTATCGATCCCACATTCTTCCCGGATTTTCTTTCCATCACAGCTCTCCTCCAATGGACGCATCCATCTGGGCGAATCTCCCGCGCCATCTCCAGCTCGAGCTTCTCTCTTCGACTGGATTACCTTCCAAACTTCCCGGAAGAGCTCCTGGACGTGTGGGCGGCGTCGTCGACGGGCTTGCTCCTAGTGGAGACCACGCGAGCGCAGCTCATCGTCACCAATCCCCTCACTCGCCGCTGGGCTCGACTGCCACCGCTGGACTCGTCCGATAGATATTGCGCTTCTATCGCCAGTTTCCAGGCGTTCCCAGACTCGAGCTTGCGGGTGGTCTATGCCTCGAGTATGTCGTTCGCCTTGAACGACTTGAAACTCCATGTCTACGATCATCGCTGTGGTACGGAAGTAGCGGCGGCCTGGGAGAGCTGGGAAGTGGACATTGGAGCTGGCAACGTTCCCCAAGCTCGGGTTTTGCAGCGACGAAAGCAACGTTTTTTTCATCACCAGGACGAGTTCAGCGGAGGAGGACTACTCGCTCAAGTCTGTCACCTTCCTTGATCGGGGCTCGGGGGTGAGGATTCTGGCGCGATGGAAGAGCCTACCGCCGGGATTCTCTGTCAGTGAGAAGCCCACCTTCTTCCCAACCGAGATGCATCCCCTACCGGTTATCTGCGGTCGACGAATCCTCCTCCCGTGCCTGCAAAAGAGCATCTGTGGTGGCGATGGAGGAATGTTGACCCCGGCTTTGCTGCGCCTGGACGAGCGGCTGGAGCAGTGGCAGCCCTTTGCAGCAGTGCCGCTGGATGTGATTCCCCGGGAGATCGTTCGAAGGATGGCGTGGGAGGAGTGTATTCGTGCGGTGGCCTGCGAGGACGACGAGGTAGTCCTCGGTCTCCTCGACGTTGGTTTCCAGTGCGTCTACAGGATCTCGAGCCAGACTTGGTCGCCACTGCCGCTGCCGGACTCCAAGCAGAGGTCCATCGGCACTGTGCCGTTCAAGTTCTCGTTGCTCGGCGGAGTGCCAGGTTTTTGTGCGCCATCCTTTCCATTTCTTCTTGTCATTAACCGTTTTTCTGTGCAGGTGACTCGGCCGAGGCTGCGGAAGTAAGGCTTGTGTAAGGTAAAGATCGATAGTTTACTGTTTCTTCGGGAACCGCTACTTCAGAGAACTCTGAGCGTAGAATTACAAGGAATAGAAAAAGATCGCTTGCTCGAAGTCCAAGCCCCAGTGTTGAGCCCCTGTTTCTTTTCTTCGTTCTTCCGTTCGCGTGGATCACTGGCTGACTCGTCCATCCCGCTCTCCAGGTTCTCTGCTACGTCGTGGTGGCGGAATTCAGGCTCTGATTAGAGGATCTAAACTCCGAGACCTTCGGAGTGTTCAAGGTTTGTGGTGACGAGCTTGCCGCTGATGGTGGAACCTCTGGCAAGCCACTACCTAGACTCGAGCTCGAATGGATCCAAGCTGGGTATCATCAGGGGTTAATTACTGATCGATCAAGGTCGTGAACAGAGCCGGTGGCGATCGCGGCGCTCCAATCAGCTTTGGGATTGGAAGCGTGTTTGCAAACTATGGACATACATTTTGCAAGAGAAACTCGATAATTACTATTGATCAATGGCAATTGAACAAGACCTTGTAGTACGTAAGGTCACTTTTACAAACCTCAAAGTTCTTTTGATAGTTTCCAAAGCCTTGCTACTTTTTCTTCACGAGAATTAAATCAACCGCTTCCCCTCCCTCGACATCGATCGGATCAACAAGATTGACACTAGTAGTTTACTGTTTCCTCGGGAGCCGCTACTTCAGAGAACTAGGAGAGTAGCATTACGGGGAATAGAAAAGGATTGTTGGCGTGGACTCGTGTCTCCACAGAGCTTGAGTTCGTTCGCGTGGATCACTGGCTGACTCGTCCATCCCGCGCTGGAGCTCCAGATTCTCTGCTATGTCGCAGTGGCGGAATTCAGGGCCTTGGATTAATCGACTAATGGAAGAAGATCTAAACCCCAAGACGTTCTTGGTGTTCATCTTTTGCAAGCTCATGTAACCTGTGCCAATCTGTAGAGCTCATGACGGGTTTGGCGTCCTGCGAGAGGCCACAGTTTCCCGACACTGAAAAGAAGAAACTGACGACGAAATGCTCAGCGGAGAACGCAATCAGAAAGTTGATCCCTCTAATGGCGGCCAACTTGTTTGTGATGGACGAATCGCATGCAAACGAGCGGCGGCGATGGAGGAGTGATGACTCCGGCTTTGCTCTTCCTGGTCGAGAGGCTGGAGCTATGGCAGCCCTTTGTGGCACTTGGTTCCTCGGAAGATTGTTCCAAGGATTGCAATCGAGCTGGATGTTAGTGCGTGGGCCTCCTGACTCTCCTCGAGCTTGACTTCCAGTATCTCCAGCTGGACATGGTCGCCACTGCCGCTGCTGGAATCCGAGCCGAGCAGTGGGAGCCCAGCTGCCCTTCAA